TTATTATTGACAGAATTGTTCCAGCTAATTTAAAAAATTATAGTTCAGTTCATACCTTCACAGCTTTGTCGGCTGCCTTACAAGCCACAATTGTTGCTTCAATGTCTCCTGTATGTCCAACCATGTCACCGTTTGGCAGGTTGACACGAATCTATGCAACAGAAAAATAATAAGATAGAAACTAAAAAGTTTATTATCATTAGACAATGAATCTTAAAATCACCAGATTCTGTTAAATTACCTGATCAAATTTCCCGCTAAGAATTGCTTCCCTTGCCTTCTCAGCAATCTCCACAGCCTTCATTATTGGTTTTTCATTGAATGTAATCCCAGAGTCACTTGGAATCTCAACATATTCCTCCAGTTTCTCATCAAAATACCCAGATCGGTTCCCGTTCCAGAAAAATGTGACATGACCAAACTTAACAGTCTCACTGTCAAAGAAGAAACTCATGAGTGACTATGAAAGCGATCATTTACCAAGTTCACGGATTCGCATGAGTGAAACTATTACAATATCAAGAGAAAGCCAACATATTAAACAATAACTCACCTGCAAGCAAAAGTGCGAATACCATTTTTAACTAAATATTCTCCAGAAGTCCTTTCTATCTCTGGTGGAGAAACAAGGTATTTGCGTGGAAGCTTCAATTCACCATCGTATTCAAGCATACCAGCATAACGGATTTTAGGGAAGCGTACTCTATCAAATTTGTCAAAGTTTTCATATTCAAGAGCCTTAGCAAGCATAGTCATACGATCTGCCCGGAAGTTAAATGTAACAACGGCATCGCCATCAACTATAGGACCAACAGATTTTCCACTCTCGTCAACAATAACAAAAGGAGGCAGATACTGGTCATTGGCCTTTGGTTCTGCCCTCAGTGTTTTGACAGCTTCAAGAGCACTTTTGAACTTATAAGGTGCTTCGCCAAGAACTTGAGCATCCCATCCACGTTTCACAACACTCCAGTCATTCTGCAGGTTGTTTTGAAATCATTCAGATTATTCATATATAACATATATGTATACACAGGTACAAATATTTCAAGTCAAAAAAAATTATTTGCAGTATAAAAATAAGAATCTCTAATACAATACCTCATAACGATCCATTGTGACATACATGCGACCTCCACCTGATGCAATCTGTGCATCAACACCTTTCTCACGCAATTTCGCAAGATCATTTTCAAGGGTTTCCACAAAAGCTACACTTGAGCCATCCAAAACATCACGACCATCGGTAAGAATATGAAGACGGACTCTCTTAAGACCTCGCTCACTAGCTCCTTTAAGCAACAACTGTACAAAAATAGTTACTTCGAATTTAGAAGGCATAAAATTTTGCAAACGTTAAGACACAAAAGTTGAAACACATTAAATCACCTGCACTTGATCAAGCCTGGAGTGAACTCCACCATCACTCAGTAGTCCAATGAGATGCAATGTGCCAGTTTCAAAACTTTCCTTGATGTAATTGAAACCTTCTCCGTCAAAAATCTTTCCAGATTCAAGAGCAAGGTCAACAAGCTTTGCACTACAATAAACAAGCACAAATCAGTAATCCCAATCATCACTTGTTCTAGAAATACGATAGCACAGTCAATATGCATAGACAAAAGGAAAGCATCAGAAAAAACATTTCAAGATGGGAAGCATGCAACAACCAATCCTAATACCACTGAACAAATTTATTGACATCAAGATACAAAACAGTTTCCATTCAAACAGAAGAACGCAGTCCGGGGAAAAATGAGATGCACGGTAATGCAAAGCCACATAGATGTTGATTATTGTGTTGAATCTAAAACAAAACTAGGCAGAGCAGGGGAGCAAATTTGTACCTACTGATCCCATTTATGATAATTCAAGAAAAAAGGTGGATCATAGAACAAGACATAGCAGGAACTGCTATGCCATGACATAAAAAAATAGGCACAGCAAATCCAAATGTTTCAAGCAACAAAATTAGTTCACATTTTCTGATATGGTAAATCAAGAAACACCATACCAGCTACACAGTTTAAGAAACATCAAAGACCAATTCCTTACCAAGACATACATGAATAAATGAAAAAACATACTAATGAAAAAAAGAGACCAAACCAAATAGATTGAGATTAGAAGCTATTTCAATTTACCCTTGAGCAAATATACGTCCAGCACCGAGTGCGTTGTGACCAACTTCACTGTTACCCATGTCATCCTCAGTTGGAAGCCCTACAGCTTTACCATGAGCCCTAACCAATCTCCAATGTTCAGGTGCACCCTACAACATAACAAAAAAAAAACCACCACCATTAATTTTCATCTTCAAGCAAAACCCAAAACAGCAATAGATCTAAGCAGATTCAATCCAAAGTCCAAACAAGTTCAATCCAAAAGACAAAATGAAAAACAAAAAAGGTATATGCATAGTTATTATCATTATTATACCTTTTTAAGGGAATCCATGGTGGGTGTTTCGGCGATATGGATACAGTTGTACTCATTAGGGTTAGCCTCACCCCAACCATCCAAAACAACAACAGCAATAGTCTTTCCCTTTGGAAGCTTAGGATGATCCGGTAATTTCCATGAGAAATCTGAGCTACCCATCTTTCTTCTTCTTTTCTATAACAAACTCTGATTCAAAAACCAAACCCAAAAATCTTAACAAACTAATCAACAACAAATTCCATCATATATTAATCTCTATAAACATCACAAATCAATAGTGATTAAATTAAATTAAATTAAACCATTAAATTTAGATCTTATGCAGTTCCCAAATTCAAATCTAAGAACTAAAATTAATAAAAAAAATTGACTGTTAGAAATATGAATCTCAAATCTATGATTTGATAAAATAAAGAAATCGAAGGATGAGATTGATGCATAGAAATCTCAGAAAAAGACATACCTAAGGATTTCTGGTTGAGCCGCAAGTAACTGAACAAATGTCACAGTGATAACCTAACAAAGACCAATCCCTTTGTCTTTTGAATTGTGTTATTCTTGGTTCGTTTGATATAAATATAGTAGTTTTTTTTTCGGTTTATTAGCGTTGATATTTTTAGTTTTTTAGTTTTTGTATGGGATTTTTTTATTTATTTAAAAGGAAGGAAGTTGCATGAATTTAAGAAGAGTCGCTTTAGACGGAGAAAATAAGGGAAAAGTGAAAATGGTTAGTTTCCTTTTTTGATTATAGTTAATTCTTTTAATTGTTTTTTTAAAAATGTTTAATCTGTGGGTCACTAAGTTTGCGGTTTTAAAATACAGTTAACTATTTCAAAAGTAGAAATTTTAATAAAAATTTTAAAAAATCAAATATTTAATTTAAAAATGTTTAATCTGTGGGTCTCTAAGTTTGGTGAATTATTTAATTTTTATAAAATGTGTTTAATTTAAATTTTAAAATAAAAAATTAATTAATTAATTAAAATATTTGTTAGTGAAAAGTTATAGATAATCATATCATATATATGAGACTAAAATGTTTTTAGCACAACTTATTAAAATTTAAAATAAATTTGAAAATGAAAAATATTTAAATTAAGAAACAGACATTCTCTTATTAAAAAAAAAAAGTGTATAAATTAAATATTATATTTATTTGCTTTTTTTTACTATTTTATAAAATATTTATTTTTACGGAACACTGAAGAAAAACGGTGAAATGTTTTTGACTAAAAGATACGGTTTGCGTGAAGTTTGATTTCGCTAGAAGTTTTTGTAGCAAATATAAATATGAATATTCGAATATGCCATTGTTCCCCGTGGTGACATGTCACTTTTCATCATTTCTCATGCTCGTTCTTTAAAAAAATAAAGGAATAATACCATATGAATATTCGAATATGCCATTGTTCCCCGTGGTGACATGTCACTTTTCATCATTTCTCATGCTCGTTCTTTAAAAAAATAAAGGAATAATACCAACATAGTGTTTTTTAATGCATATTTTCAAACATCTAATAGAACTTTACAATGGGTTTTTTTTATAAAATTTATATCAAATTTTTCAAATATTTTTTTATGTATAATTGTCCGGTCATCTACCAAGATCATATTTTTATTGAGATATTAAACTTAATTTAAATTGGTTAATTTAAATTTAAATTCAATTAGAATTTGTTAACTTATTTAGTGTATAAATTAGGTGTATATAAATAATTATAATTTATATTATTATTTATAATAATTCAAGTAAATAATATAATCTTTATTCCTTTATTATTTTCTCTTTCTTTTTTCACTAAAAGTGCCTCGTGCTAGGGGTGTTCGTGGTCCGGTTTGGATCGGTTTTGAGACAAAATATCATCCGATCCAAAAATATATAAAGTATACGGTTTGGTTCGGTTTTTGGATGACAACAAGATAAATCCAATCCAATCCAATCCAATTTATACGGTTTACTTCGGTTCGGTTGAATCGGTTTTATTCGGTTTTTAAACCAACACTATTTAGAAATTTAAAAAGAATATATTTCAATACCAGTTATAATTATGCCACCAACGTCTACTGAGACAATATCTAATTGTTATGTTCATATGGCTATTTGATGTCATTATTGCAAAGTTTCATTATAATATATGTATAATATCTATCCCAACGAAATAGACATGGCTATAATATATAATATATATGGAGATATGCTTAGTTCTTATATGGAGATTTGTATTATAAATTAAATATATGACAAATATATAAAATAGTGAACAAATGAAGATTCCAAAGCTATATTAAAGTGAATATAATAATAAAACTTCAAGAAAAATATCAATAACAGTGGACATGCGAAAGTTGCATCACAAGGAATATATAATAATAATATGACAAACTGCATTATATATAGAGAGAAGATTTGCTTTATATATGACAGCATAATTGATAGTTTCAAAATCAGAGCCTGCAACATAATTGATAGTCAAATAACAAATTTTCTAATTATCCTGCAATAGCTCCACTCCAGCTTCACAATTCTACCCAATTCTTTTAGAATGCGGATACAACAGCTAATCAGAGTCTATATCAGATACACCTTCATTCAATTGAGGGATTGAAGCAAGTTCTACAAAAATAAAGATAAATATTACTCAATATAAAAGATTAACAATGTTCAACAAAAAATAATATAAGTTATAAGTAAATTACCTAATTCCAAATTTTCTAACTCATCCACAAGCTCTTCAATATCCACTGACACCGGGGAAGATTTACACCAATTTTGTGTATAGATTAAAGCTTCAACTGTTTTTGGCGTAAGATAGCTTCTATAACAAGTAAGCACTCTTCCTCCGGTAGAGAAAGCGGACTCTGAAGCTACAGTAGACACAGGCATGGCCAATATATCTCTAGCCATTTGACCAAGAATAGGATATTTGTTAGAATTCACCTTCCACCAGTTCAAGATATCAAAACCAGGACCCTTCTTCTCCAAATTCTCCATGAGATACAAATCCAATTCATTTTTCTGCATGCTCTCATTAAGATTCATGTCCATCTCAACCTCTAAAGCAAATGCATCCTCTGGTGCTTTAAGTTCTACCAATTCCACTTCTTGAGTGGAATGTGTAAGATTTTCAGTTTGACCGTTACCAAGGAAAAGCCTATAACTCTCAAATATTTTATTTAATGTCTCCTCTGTTTTTTTGTACAAAGATACAACAACATCATTTGTATATGCCCTGTTCAATCCCCACCTAACAAACTGCATCTTATGTCGAGGATCAAGCACAACATCAACAAAGATCAACATATTCATTTTTTCAACCTTACCCCAATATTTATCATACTTAACTTTCATATTTTCAGCCATAATTCCAAGCAAGTTGTCAGAACTTTTTAATTCTATCCACCCGTTTAATGTAGTCAATATCTTAATATGTTCATTAAAATATTGAGAAGAGGTCACAAAAGTACTACCTGAAACCTTCTTTGTGATATCAAAAAATATTTTCAAAAAATTAACAAAGCATTTTGCATTATCCCAATCCTCTTTATTAGGAATACCATCTTTCATCAGCACAAAATCAACACACTTCTCACTCAATCTCTTAAATGCCTTTTGAAACTTCAATGCACTTTCAAGCATAATATATGTGGAATTCCACCTAGTGAAAACATCCAACTGAACAATTGATTTTTCTTGTAACCTGTTGGCTCATAAACTCGACACCCTTGTTTTTATTAATATAAACCATTAATCATGAGGGACGGCTTCGACCAGCTGATTTTGTCGAAATGCTCATCAGAAGATGGCAAGGTACTTAGAGAATTTCTTCTAAGTAAGAATCTCGTTGCCTTCGATGTCGAAGGTGCTTCTCGACAAAGGTGTTCGACGCTCAGAGTGGAACGGTTTTGAGATTCAAATGTTTGGAGGGAAAACGGTTCCCAGCGGTTACCAAGTGCAACGTGCCAAGATCTGGAGCGTCGAATGCTGTGAGCGTGCCAAGTGGAGTCATCTCGAAGCAGCGTAACTGCCCGACGGTTACTTGAGATGTGTTTAGTATAAATATTAGTTGTTCACGTAGTTTTTCGCGTGTGTTCACAATTATATACAAGTCACTCATATAGATTCAAGTACCCAGTGTGAGCGAAAGAATTGTTGAGAATGTATGTGTGAAACACCACTTTAATTAATCAAAGTCATTTATTTTCCAAAACTTTACTGCCTCTTCATTTACTTTTCCAGTCGAAGCCTTTATTCAAAGCTTTCTTTTATTCTACCAAGTTCTCTTCTTCATGCAATTTACATAAAGTATCTTTATTTTCTTGTCATTAACCATCATTAAACTTAGTCAAAACCCCAAAAATCAACCATGTCTTAGGATCAATCTGATCGATCCTGCGAGTCACCAAATAAGTAACCTTTTGGAAGATCAGCGGTTGTTTACCAATTTCCACGGTAAACAAATTGGCACACCTGGTGGGACCTTGTGTTGATTTTGAAGGTTAATCGTATTTACACAGAATATCATCTTTTTCGAGAAGTATTGCATGTTATTGAGAAGTGGTAGAATATACACTAACAATACCAATACTGCCAGAAGAAGAGAAGCGATGGCGAATCCGCCAAACAATAACGAAATCCCACAAACGAATGTGGGAACAACGGTTATCCCAACCGTAAGTGAAGCGATAACCGCTGGTTCAACACCAGCAGTAACGGTCACACAAACGGGGCTATTACCTCCGTTCACTGGCCCCATAGCGCCTTTGGGAACTCCCCCACCAAGGGGAAATCCAGGAACTAGGCCTTATGTTCCCCCAGGATTTATGACAGGCGGTCCAAATCGAGAACCACTCTATGGCATGCCAACGTCTGAATTGGCTAGCCTGACGAACGCTGCGTCCACTTTTTCAGACCCTTTAGTGAGTGCCTCTTCGCCACTCCAAGGTTCTGGAGTTGGTATGGCGAACAGAAATAGGACCCAACTCTTAGGAGGAACGTCCCAAGTAGCGCATGGCCTTACAAATGCCTCGACAGCAGTCTTGAGGCAGCAAATGGACGAGAGCAACCATGATATGGTTCAAATGTTGGCACAAACTTTAAGTACAGTGCTGAATCCTCTAATACAAAACACCACCCAGTCGAATCAGCAGATGACAGCGCAAATGACGCGTCTGGCTGATTTCTTTGGGGTACCCCAACCTATTCGACAGCCCCAAAGGGCGCAAATAAGGGGAAACCAAGGTATACTTTTAGAGGAAGAAACCACTATTAACCAAGTCCAGCAGCCTGTCGAAGAAAACCTTAGGGCACGATTGGAGCAGCCTGTCGAAGAACCTAGGGTCATAGCCCCAGAGGTAAGGATAGTCAACAGAAACCAAAATGCTGACGAAGTAGTTCAGCACATCCAATACCAAAACATGGGTTTGGAAAATAACCTGGCAGCCATGATCGAAAGAATCATGACGCGAAATGGGATGAATATGGGCTTTCGTAGGCCCAACTTCACATCCCCACTGTCAGAATATGTGTTACAAACAGACTTACCTCCTAGATGTAAAGTCCCTAAGTTCACTAAATTTTCAGGGGACACGACAGAATCTACTGTCGAACATGTGGCGAGATACTTGATCCAAGCAGGAGATATTTCAAACAACGAAAACCTGAGGATTAAGTATTTCCCAAGTTCTTTAACAAAGAACACGTTTACTTGGTTCACAACTCTTCCCCCCAATTCGATCCATCATTGGACCCAATTGGAGAGATTGTTCCATGAGCAATTCTACATGGGACAAACCAAGATAAGCCTGAAAGAATTGGCCAGTGTAAAGAGACGTTTCACTGAACCTATAGACGAATATCTAAATAGGTTTAGGTTGCTCAAAGCAAGATGCTTTACGCAAGTGCCAGAACATGAGTTAGTCGAAATAGCCGCAGGAGGGCTAGATTATTCCATTAGGAAGAAATTAGACACTCAATACCTGAGAGACATGGCCCAATTGGCCGATAGAGTTCGACAGGTAGAACGCCTTAAGGCTGAAAAAGCCAAGGCGACAAAAACTCATAAAAGAGAGAGGATAGCGTATGTCGAAATGGATGATGAAGATCCAGAAACCTTCGACGAAACTATAACCGTCGAAGAAAGCGAGGTCGATTTAGCGAAACTGAAACAAGGGCCACCATACTCTTGCAAACTGTTAGTCCCCTCAAGTGGAAAAAATCCCACTGGTCCGGAAAGGACCAACGATAGGTTCCCCAAAAAGACTTACAATTTTGATATTACAAAATGTGATGAAATCTTTGACTTACTTGTAAAAGATGGCCAAATGATAGTACCCCCAGGGGTAAAAGTGCCTCCTCTTGATCAAAGAAAGAAAATAGGCTTTTGTAAATATCATAATTTTTTGGGCCATAAAACATCTCAATGTTTTCTTTTCAGGAATCTCGTGCAAGACGCTATCGAAGAAGGGAGGTTGAAGTTTGCTAACAAGACCCCCATGACTGTGGACTCTAACCCTTTGTAGGCTGAAGCCCATTATGTTGAACCTTCAGAAGTGAACGTGATCGAGGCATCCAGAAGCCAGGCGAAGAGGCCAGGAATCACAATGGTCGAAGTCACAAAGGACCATGTCAACATGCCAATCTTTGGCAGTTTTTCTGGGAATCTATCTAGAAAAACAATTGAAGCGGTTCAAAAGGCGGTTGAAAGCCCGAAGCTGGAGACAGTTGGAGCCCAAAAATCTGGAACAAAACCCAGTTCCTACTTGGCTGCAGTTCAAGGCCAGACAGAGGACTTCGAGACTCAGATGAAGCAGTTGACTCTTGCCACCAAAGACACCATGAATGTCAACATGGTCGAAGTCTCTGAACCAAAAGCATCAGAGGAGGCCATTAGGCAAGAACAAGCCAACAAAACTGCTTTCCCTCGGGAAAATGAAAATCTGGCAGATTTCCTGCAAAGATGCCAGAAGAAGAAGTCAGAAGTGATGTTGTGTCCTCGATGCAACTCGATTTTCGACAAAAAAGCTGCTGAACATATTCAAGGTGTAAGAGTAGTAAACAGAAAAAGGGAAAGTGTTGATACTCGACATGACCCCAGAAGAACCTACCAAAAGGGTTCAAATCAAGAAAAGAGGCCACTAACTTTCAGGCCTCCAACCAATGTGCCAGTTGATACATGGTACAAAACATCTGGTCGAAAGAGGCCAAGCGAGGAAAGATGGCACTCCTTCGAAGTGCCAAGGGGTTCATCTTTTACACATAAGAAAGAACCTCAGGTTGCTACCCCTAAAGTGACCCAGGTGTCAAGCAACTACAAGGGAAAGAATCCCATGTCTCGATCTCAATGGAGAAGATACCAGAGGCGGCGAAAAGCTGAGAGGGAAGCTGCTAATGAACCAAAGCCAGAATCAAGTTCAAATGTTCCTCAGAGAAAGCAGAGGAAGCCCCTGGAAAGACAACCAGTGACCAATAGGCTAGTCTGGCCTAACCAGGGTGAAGTTGATAACGAAGATGGCTCTGAGTCTGAGGACACCCTAGATATCATGGTGAACATAGTCTCAGTTTTGCCAAGAGAGTTCAACCGCCAGGTGGAGGTCGAAACAAGTGATTGGGAAGTTGAACAAGAAATGGCCAAGCATAGGCCAGTGTGCTATTTCGTCATGGATAATGGCGCTACTGAAGAGCAGAATGGGTTCTTCGAACCTCCTACAGAGGCGATGAAAAATCACCTTAAGCCTTTATTTATAAGGGCTAAACTCGAAGAAACCACAGTAAATAAGATCTTGGTAGACTGTGGGGCAACCATCAACATCATCCCTCACTTTATGCTGAGAAAAATAGGCAAAAGCGATGAGAACATCAAGCCTCACAACATGGTCCTGTCGAATTATGAAGGCGGCATAGGGACCACTATGGGTGTGATCCAACTGGACATCAAGGTGGGATCTATCCTTCGACCAACTATGTTTATGGTCATATCGGCCAAACCAAATTATAATCTTTTGTTGGGCCGTGAATGGATACATGGTGTTGGAGTTGTACCATCATCAATGCACCAAAGGTTGATACTATGGCGTCCTGATGGAATGGTCGAAAACATAGAAGCGGATCAAAGCTATTACTTGGGCGAAGTAAATCACCTAGGGATGGCAGACTTCGACAAAAATCTGGCTCACATTGGGCCATGCCCAACACCTGAATTCGACTTGGCGCCAGCGCCAAATACTTTTTGTTCCTTATACCTGCACCCTGAGCATGGTTTTCAATGGGACAGAGAAGACTTGTCCCACATTGATTTTAGTGGGCTAACTGATATCCAGCCAACTGGTTGGGGAAGTGAATTCAGTGACAATGACTGAGTCACA